GGAGCCCTGGGCCCTTTAAATCACCGCCGGAGAAGCCAGTCCAGTCCAGCACAACGTACTGGCTCTTGCCAATACACCGTACCATACCAGACCAGCTTAGTTTCACCTCTGAAATTAGGCCACATCAGCTCATAACTCAGTTTTTGCAGTATGTTTCTAATGGTTGACAGAAAACTGATAATTATCCAAGTAGTGACTCAGTGTAGGGCTGGACACTACAGACGGCATATACATAGTTTGTTAATTCCCTATATTCCATGCTGCATTATTTAAATTGAATCCAACCATTGTTGATTTGAGCTTTTCTGCCTTGAGCTCTGCAGCTCCAAAAGTTTCCTACCACCCCAAATAATACTATTACTTGCCCCAGATCCCAGCCCTACTACATCAAAGAGAGCACAAAGTTTCCAATTGTGAACAAATCTGTACACCACTACTTGTTCAGCTGCAGACTACCTGTCCGTGGATCCATCAGCAAGAACAATAAAAAAACCTAACTTTCTGTAATCGTTTGTGGGATATTAATATAGTCTGGTCAAGATTAAGGAGGATCCTTTTGGCCTACAAATTGGGGATTATTTCAAAATCTCTAAAACTGTAGTCATGTTTAGCAACAGTGTAAGAAATGTTAAAAAATGAGGCACCAAAAGGAGTTTGTTTTCTGTGTCTTAGAGATCCAAGAATTCAGTTTCATATTTGATTATGTACTACAAACAATACAGCTGCATCAGTCCTGTCTACATTCAGACCTTCTACACTCTAAACGAGGGGAAGAATAAGCAGGTTTACCCTTTCATTTTGCTATTCTGGCCTCCTCACCTCACTAATACATCTTCCCCAAAGCTACCCTCCAAACCTCTAAGCTACTTGCAAAGATTATTTTCTTATTTTAGAGCAAGTAACAAGCATTTAATATTTAATAAAATTTAGCTCATTTTTTAAAACAATTATATTTACAGGGCATCTATCTGCCAACAGTTTGCTCATTAGAGCTCTGAGCATCAGCTTCTGTATTCAAAGTTGTAACATAAGAAGCTTTTATTGACAAACATACACTACTATTGACACACTTCTATTGACAAACACAAACATATACTTTTGCTTGTCCATGCTCAAGTTTTAATATTAATCTGCCACATGCTCTCTAAAATAATTCTCTGAATGGTAAAGCTTGTAACAAAGCTCAGAACGTGCCAAATGGTTCAGCAGCAGAGCTACTGCTTCCATAAGGTAGATCTGCAACATCACTTTTCAAGCAAAGGGGAACTTAGAATATTGCAGAGGTAACACTAGTGCTTCTCTTTAAAGAGTGCAGTCTACATAACAACAACTCATTAGTGCCTGGGCACAGAACAATTCAGCACACTCAGAGCAACTGCCTGCTCTCTATTAGCCACAGGGTACATTTTATACACAATTGCTACTATATGACAAAGAAGGACCAAGAGTGTGTAAGAGAAGAAACATCAGTTCAGAATGGAGGGACAGTGCAAGAGTCCTTCAAACACTTTGATTGCGACTTTGCACTGTCAGTACCAGAGAAACTTCTCATTACACATGCCTAGTCAGGCCAGATAGCTAAACTGATCAATAGCAAAAAAAGAAGGTAGACAGAGAGATAGACAGCTATTCTGGACAGTTTTTTTTTTACCTGAGACAGCATACACACACAGTTTTCTGCAATGCAGTACAGCCAGATGAAGTAGTTCAGTACCACTGACAATGAGGGGGGGGAAAAAAAGGAGAAAATTTGCAAGTGAGTTTCCAGTAAACTGCAGCACTGAGGGCCTAATCTAAGACACGCTGAAGTCAATATAAAGCCTGCAGGTGGACTTCCCTGGGCTTTGGATCAAGCCCCAAATTCTCAAGTGTTAAGTACCAGCAAAATGAAATATTGTGCAACTAAATTATTTTTCAGAATTAAAACATCTGAAATTATATTTGACAGCTAATAGTTGTTAAGTTCTCAGTAGAACCCTGAGAGACATTTTGCAGATGTGAGCACATGAAGCAAGCAAGCTTTTTCTAATTCAGCCTGATCCTGTTATCTAACAAGCTAGCACTAATACTTCCAGTGAGAAAAATAATGGCGGGCAATTGTGTGATTGTCACTTTAGATGAGCATCATTTGATAGATATGGATACTACTTTACATCCACAATACAAAATTAAAACCCCATTATACAAAGATAGTCACAATATTTTGTATTCTGTGCCCATCCTCTATACACAAATAATCTCATTTACTGCAAAGACAAGAGCTCTTGCACTATAATAATAAATAATAAACAAACAAAAAATAGCAGCAGCAGCAACCTTTGGTTAGTTCCAATACCATAAGACATTGCTGTATCTGTGAAGTACCTTCAAGAGCACCCAATTAAAAAACGAAGGGTGTTGAGAACAGAGTTAGGCATTACTCTTAAATTGGCTTATAATAAATAAAATAGCTTGGAAAGCAACATGTCTGATGCATACTTAGTAGACAAGTATGTTTTTAAAGAAGCACAGCAATGTTTACATGCAGCATCAGAACATAAGTAGAAGACATTTGGGGATTTTAATATAACCTAACCTAAGACTTTACCTTAATGAGCATAAACATTTTTTTCCATTTATGCTCTATACCATATAAAATCAATAAGCAGATTAAATGCATAATTCAACATTCATGAATTACTTTTAACGGCTGTAAGAGTCACACACTGCAGTGCCAAGAAGAATATGTTGATTTAAATGAGATAGCTTACACCTAAACCCCAAGCACTTTACAAAATTGATCTAGATGGTCTTTAGGGAGGCAAGTTAGCTACTATAACGAATTAGCCTAAAGCCTTCAAATTAGTGTAATCATTATCAGCAACATGGACTGTTTACTTACGAAACAAATTTTCCTACTTCCACCTGGAGTATTGGATCTCGCAGTTGCACTTCCAGGAGCAAATCTTCAGCTTGCATTCCATCTCCAGGTTTGACAGGGTGAGGATTAAAGATTCGAAGATATCCCATATAACTGCCAACAGTTATTTTATCTGTAGAAAAATTTCCAACAAGAGGAAAACTAGAAATAGAGAAATAAATGTGCTGCATATGTGCTTCAAAGTGTATCCTTAAAATGATGGGATGTTTACACAGAATTATGCTGACGCTCTGCAGCCTAGACACTTAAATATTTCAACTGTGAGAACGAGGAAGCAATAATTCTCAAACTCCAGTCCAGTCTCTGAAATCCACTCTGAGTGTAGCCAGTACTTCCAAATGTTCAGCTCCCATGTCTTAAAGATTTGGCAACACTCTTCTCACCAAGCAAGCAGCAGAATGTTGACTTTTAAAAACCTGGTAACAACAACATTATAGATGCTCTCCAGATGAGAAATTGAAGCCTGATTATTACTTTTTCAGGTCAATGTATCAAAACATAGAATGGACCAAATTCAGACTTGACATAAGTGGGTGAAACTCCCATTGACTTCAAAGTGGATTTGGTTCAGGATTCCTATAGTAATAATATTTGTTATGAAATAGTATTTAATAAAAGTCAGCAAAGATTCTTAAGAAACACAAATCTGAAGTAAACAAAAACGATTACAGAAAGCCCCCTGTACCTCAGGAGATCAGTTCTGCTCAGAACTCCCAGAGAAGACACTAACATTTATCTCTTCCAGACATCAATCCGTGTCTGAGGTGTATCCAATAAATCCTGTCCATAAGTCACATGGACATACTCATAATACAAAAGATCTGACTGTTTCAGAGTGGAGGCAGCCAAGGTTTACCAGGCTTTTAGCCATTTGGAACAGTTCCACAGGACCCCATTTCACGTGGAGAAGCAGGCAGCTATCTTCATCTCTGCTGTAGCAAACATTCATGCTGCAATTCATTCGACTCAGAACGTGACCTCTGCCCCTTGCACCCTAATCTCTGTCTCATCCATTTCTGTCACAATTTATCTGTATATCACACTGACAGATGAAGATGACAGTCATGAAACATTTGCATGTCCCTTAGCTCCCTAAAGCTCTCTCATTTACACACTCTTTACAAAATATTTTTCTTACATTTGATAAACTTGCCTAAAAGGGGTATTTTTTTCTTTCATCCAGATGTGCAGGCAGTCAGGTTTACCTCTTATTTTATTTACTTTTGATCAAACTCCCCATCAAGTGCTCTGGCCACCCTTAACATATTTATAGACAACAGAACATAGGAAATGCAAAGTAAAACAACTGACCAAAGCAGCAATACTTCTTCCTCCCACCTACCACTATTGAATATCCAGTAATATGACCTATACAGTTTAAGCTCTTCTCCCCCAGCAACAGCACTTTCCCACTAGACAGCAATTCCACCTTCAATTGCCTCAGCTAATACCTGCTCAGAAAGATAGCAGGAATTTGATGATTTTTTGGGCATGCTACACCACCTATTTCAGACTTGGGGAGCAGCACATTTCAAAGGAAAGGAGAACACTCTGCCAGGAGCCCTCCTCCCCCCCTTGTTTTTTTTGGGGGGGGGGGTAAAAGAACAAGGTGGCGGGGAAGGGAAGAAATCAAGCTCAAGGGCTTTTGCTGATTACAGCTGCGGCAGAATGGCACAGAAAGGCATTTTCAGGTAAGCAGATCCTAAAACACTTAGAGATTTATAGGTCAAAACTAACCCCTTAAAACTCGTGGTAACAGGTCCCAAACGCTACCCTAGCTACTTCAAATGCAAGCTGATCTCAAACATAACTTCTCATGGCTGAGCTAGCACTAGCTTCATTAAACTAGCAGTTACTTTCCTGAATTCCCCACCAAAAGATGCCCAAAACTGTATTTTGCAATTATACTTTATAAGTGTTTTTCCCTTCAAGTGTATGGCAATGTTTTCAACAATTCTTTAATATTGTATACACACTGAGGTAATATTAAAAATATGAAAATAGTGCCACATACTTGTGAAAAAATGCCACTTACATGTTCCATGCTCTAGCAGGGTTTCTTGAAAGCAATGACAGCATATAAAATGAAATGATGCATTCTAGAATATCTAAGTGAACTCTGACAACAAAAAGAAAAGGGGTGGAAGACAAAGCGTAGTAGTATATGCCAAATGCCTCCTACTTCATCTCGTTAATAAGCATTTAGCACATGTTGCTGGAGTAAATAAAAATTGCAGTCATGTTTCTGTCACAATCTGAAGGCCAACTCAGAATTTCTGTTTACCTTGTCCACTGCCGCTGTTGTCAACATCAGCTACGCATAAACACCCTTGATCAAATTCTTCTTTTTCTCCAAGAGCTGTTGACCACCAATCTCGGGCTTTAAATAAAGACATTCTCCTTCACACTAAAAAGAAACAGACTCTGGGGTAAAATCCATACTTTTCATATCAAGTTATACAGATCATGTTAGATTTTCTAGGAAGCATAGTATCCTAAATTATTTTTGCTTTGATTCCACACCAGCTCAGTACAAAAACAAATTAAAACAGGAATTCTAAATGTCCCTGTGGAACTCGTTACCAGGGGATGTTATGAAAGCCAAAAAACTGTAACTGGGTTCAAAAAAGAATTAGAAAAGTTCATGGAGGATAGGTCCATCAATGGCTATTAGCCAAAATGCTTTAGGTGTCCCTAAGCATCTGACTGCCAGATGCTGGGACTGGACCACAGGGGGATGGATAACTTGATAATTGCCCTGTTCTGTTCATTCCCTTTGAAGCATCTGACATTAGCCACCGTCAGAAGACAGGATACTGGGCTAGACAAACCATTGGTCTGACCCAATATGGCCATTCTTATATTCTTATGATATCATACACTTTTCAAAGGTATACAAATGGAGCATATTTTTCAGAAACAATAGTTTGTACAAGATTCAGAAGTTAATAATAATTAACAGCATATAATAGAAACATAAGGAGATGGGGAGTCCACAAAATCTGACAAGCACGATTTAAAAAAAAAAAAATACGGGTAGGTACAAAAGTTCTGTTATGTCTATTCTTGGGACTTTAATCACATTGCTTAAAAACACTATGAAATGGATCAAGCCATAAATGACTTTACTGTCTTTCCAGAGTTCCTTGTACCTGGCTATATCACAGAACCTATTTCAGGACCTGGACATCACTAACAAAAGACATTTGTGATAAATAAAGTGGGGGGGATAGCTCCCTTTGATGGGCACCCAGTTAGCCAGTTAGCTGTAAAATCCCATAACTGTTCTTTACTTGCTTTACCTGTAAAGGGTTAAAAAGTCCCCCAGGTAAAGAAAAAAAAAAGTGGGCACCTGACCAAAAGAGCCAATGGGAAGGTAGAACTTTTTAAAATGGGGAAAGAAACTTTGCCTTTGTCTGTTGTTCTCTAGGCTGGAGGGACAGAGCAGCCATGCTATAAGCAGCTAAGCCGGGTATGATTATAAATCATCAGATCATGCCTAGAACTACTTATCTGAACTCCAAATGTGTAAGGTGATCAGAATGTTTAGCTTGACGCGATTAGGGTTATTTCTTTTACAGTAACTCCTCACTTAAAGTCGTCCCGGTTAACGTTGTTTCGTTGCTGATCAATTAGGGAACATGCTCATTTAAAGTTATGCAATGCTCCCTTCTAACCTCATCTGCTTTGTCCACTGCTTGCAGGAAGAGCAGCTTGTTGCAGCTAGCTGATGGGGGCTTGGAACCAGGGTGGACCGGCAGCCCCCCGCTCTGCTAAGATCCTTGTGCGGCAGCTGCCCAGAAGGCTAGCAACTGCAGCTATCCCTCCCCGCACTGCCATGTGGGGCTCCTGCCATCTGAGCCTCCTGCTTGCTGTGCGGGGGGGGAGTGAACAGGGAGATAATGTCAGGGTGTCCCCCTCCCCCCCTGCTCCTACACCCCACTTGCCCCCTTCTTCTCCATATAGAGCAGGGTGGGGACACAGATGGAGAGAGACAGGGAGAGCCTGGGGCAGCAGTTGCTGTCTCAACTTCCTGATCCACTTAAAAAGACAATACACTTAAGAGTGGGTCAGCTTACTTAAAGGGGCAGTGTGCATTTCTCTCTCTCTCCCCCACACACAAGGTGTGTGTCTGTCTCTCTGCTATGCTATCTCCCCTCCATTCCTGCTGTCTTGTACAGTGTGAGAGGCTACATTAACAACAATGTGTTAACCCTTGAGGGCTCAGCCAAGTGCTAGATCATCATTTCTCAAACTGGGGGTCGGGACCCCTCAGGGGGTCTCAAGGTTATTACATGGGGGGGGTCACGAGCTGTCAGCCTCCACCCCAAATCCTGCTTTGCCTCCAGCATTTATAATGGTGTTAAATATATAAAAAAAGAATTTTTAATTTATATGGGGGGGGGGGTCGCACTCAGAGGCTTGCTATGTGAAAAGTATCAGAGGGGTAGCCGTGTTAGTCTGAATCTGTAAAAAGCAACAGAGGGTCCTGTGGCACCTTTAAGGCTAACAGAAGTCTTAAAGGTGCCATAGGACCCTCTGTTGCTATGTGAAAGGGGTCACCAGTACAAAAGTCTTAGAACCAGTGATTTAGCAGCAAGGCATTCCCTGGGAAATATCGCAACCTCTTCCACCCTCGAACTTCACCACCTCAACCAAGCTTCTCAATCATCATAGCTGTGAACAGTATTAAATTGTTTGTTTAAAACGTATACTGTGTGTATATATAGTTTTTTGTCTGGTGAAAAAAATTTCCCTGGAACTTAACCCCCCCATTTACATTAATTCTTATGGGGAAATTTGATTCGCTTAACATCGTTTCGCTTAAAGTCGCATTTTTCAGGAACATAATTACAACATTAAGTGAGGAGTTACTGTATTTCTTATTGGCTTGTGGACTCCTCTGTGCTAACCCCAGATGCTGTTGTTTGCTTGTAACCTTTAAGCTGAACCCCCAAGGAAGCTATTTTGGGTGCTTGATTTTTGGAATTGCTCTTTTAAAATCTAGCAAAAGCTTAAGTTCCAGATGTATTTTCTTTCTTTTTGTTTTTAATAAAATTTACCTTTTTAAAGAACAGGATTGAATTTTTGGTGTCTTAACCTTTGGTGCATGTTGTTTCATTAGCTCATAGCCACAGCTAATTTCCTTTCTCAGCTCTTCCCCTGAGGGGGGTGAAACGGCTTGAGGGTACCCCACAGGGAGGAATTCCCAAGTGCTCCTTCCTGGGTTCAAAAGGGGTTTTGTTGCATTTGGGTGGTGGCAGCATTTACCAAGCCAAGGTTAGAGAAAAGCTGTAACCTTGGGAATTTAATACAAGCCCGGAGTGGCAAGTATTAATTTTTTAAATCCTTGCGGGCCCCACTTCTGCACTCGGAGTGACAGAGTTGGGAATCAGCCTTGACAACATCTCAGTTAAATACAAGAACCATTTTTCCAAAAAGGACTCCTGAAAATTAATCTAAGCTGACTCCTTGCATTATTCTAGCACCTTTTACATGACAAAGAATTATCCTTGCAGCTGCTTGGCAAGGTAGCTGTCCCTTTAAAAGAGTACCATGTGGGAGAAGGAATCTTTCCAAAGGAGGTTTCTCCTCTGATTCAAGGGATCAGAAGAATCATCAGCTTTGTCTAGTTTTCCTAAATAGCAGCTTATTTCTCAGAGCACACCAAGATAAAAACAGATCAGCATCAAGACCTCCACTGAATAATCGCCTTGAAGAAGATGCCCTCATTACATGAGTGAGGGACTCTGTTTGATAGTAGAAAAGCCGATTTGTGCCCTACCTGCCTGCTGTTATCTTGGGGGGGAGAGAGAGAGAGAGAGGAGGAGAAAGACAGAGGAAGAGATTGGAGAGAGGATAATCCTTTTGTAGACAGTGATATGTATAAGATTGCTATTGTTTAAATCCATATGTTGTCTTTTTAAAGCATTAGGTACAAGATTGAATCTCAACAATTAGATTTAGTTACACATCATACAGAAGGCACAACAATTCTTGAATTATTTCTTAACTTTTTTAGTATTTATTTTCATTGTGTTTGTTTGTTTTTAAAAAAGAACTGCTATGACACCTGTTGCCTTGGTACTCAAGCATTGTTATTTTTATTTATTCGAATTAGAAAAATACAAACAACACATGCTACCCAAAACAGCCAACATAAGGCCTGTTGCCTGTAGGGAAGCTATAAAGCTCCAAAATATAAACTATTTAATGACTAGCAACAAAATATATACAAACCTTTAACTAAACTGGATAAACTTCTACTTTACATAAATCAACATTCATGCAAAAGTATTGCAGGGCATTATACAGGGTTAATAAGCCGGTACAGAACCGGTACGTTTGCGAGCGTGGGCTTTGTCCACTCTTATTTTAAAGCTCCCAAGTGACAGGGCTCCAAGTATCCACGGCACTGCACAAAGCACTGAATTGCATTGCATGAGACAAGCGGGCTACTCACCAGACCCGTCCAAGCAGGGGCCTCTGCACCCGCAAGTACCTGCGCTGGAAACTGACCAGCAGCCACGGCGGAGGATGCGTCTACACTAGGGGTGTGCGCGAGCAGAGAGGTGCGGGTTCCTCCCAAGCCGCCGGCCCGGCCCTGGGGCTCAGCGGGTCCCCGAGGACGGGGATCAACAGGCGGCAACCGCAGGCACCAGCCGGCTCAGCCCTCCCGGCTCGCAGCGCCGCGGACGGGACAGGGCGCGGGGTGGACGAGGGAGGGGGAGCTGTTGCTGCTGCTGCTGCTGCTGCTGCTGCTCAGGGGGAGGCTGCCAGCGGCCCCAGCTGCCCCGCTCCGCCAGCCTCGGCGACCATCTTTGCGCCCGTTGTCATAGCACTTTAACAACCAACCCCGCACCCCTCCCCTCAGCGAGCGGGGACCGGAAGCGGGGAACCTGCCCCGGAGCATCCCGGGAGATGTAGTTTGGAAGCCACGAGAGTGGAGGGTGGGGTTGTACCATTTCCTGAGGGAGGGGAGAGCAGCTCCCCTCTTCCAAAAACAGCCAGCCGCGGAACCAATTCAGTTGTGTTTCTCTTTTGACATATTGAGAAAACGAAGCAGCTTGGAAGCGACACAACCTGCCAGGTGGGAAAAGGGAGGCTGATAAAACTCTAAATGGTCTTTCCCAACGTCGTCCCCTCCTTCCCTTCTGTGTGGTATCGTCGGGGTACTTCGGCCTCTGCCGCTCGCGGGCCCCGCATTGCTGTCGGGGGACACCAAGACTTCCCACCCCCCCCATCCTCGGAGAGGGAGGAGCCGCCATGGACAGGACCGCGGTGGCCAAAATGGGAGCGGTGGCCAGCGCCAGCGTGTGCGCCCTGGTGGGGGGAGTCGTCCTGGCCCAGTACATCTTCACCATAAAGAAGAAGACGGGCAGGAAGACCAAGATCATCGAGATGGTAGGTCCCAGCGGGACCGCGCCTCTCTCCTGACACCCTCCTGCCCCCAGCCCGGGGACTGCGGGCGCAGGCATCAGCTAGCACGAGGGAGGGTTCCCACCCCCAGAGTTGGGCTTGTCCATCCTGACAGCAGCATGAGCCCCCACGTGTCCCTGGCCGTCTGTTTCGGGCAGCTTCGAAGTCTGCTCGTCCTGAGTCTGTGGGGAGGGCGAGAGGAGGAGTGAGATTTCTGAATCTGTCCCTCTGTATGTCTACATAGATTGGTCTGTGGGAATTAAACTCCTTCCAGGTACATGCTAGCAGTAGCATCGCAAGATCGGTTGGAATCCTAGATGGGGAATCCACGGCTGGGCTTTGAGACACTGATGTGATATCATCAGACTAGGAGGCGGTTTTGTTGTTTGTTTGTTTGTTTGTTTGCAAACTGGTTGCCAGGGGTGCTGGAGCAATGTGTGTAGTGGGGGTACATTGAACCAAACTGTAAACCCAGTATATGATGGAAACCACTTCAAACCAGGGGGTTGCGGCACCTCCCCTCAGGGCCGGCGTTAGGCCAATTCCACCAATTCCCCCGAATTGGACTCCGCGCCTAAGAGGGCCCCGCGCCCAGTGGCAGGGCCGCCCAGAGTGGGGGGCAAGTGGCAGAGAATCCCTTCCCTGGCTAGAGGCGCCTTTTTAATTTTTACTCACCCGGCGGCGCTCCGGGTCTTTGGCGGCACTTTGGCGGCAGGGTCCTTCAGTGCCGGCGAAGACCCAGAGCGAGTGAAGGACCCACCGCCAAAGACTAGGAGTGCAGCCAGGTGAGCACAAGCCCCACGTGTTTTTTTTTACATGTTTTTTTTTTAGTCATCCCTGTCGGAGCCCTGTCGAAACTGTTCGAATTGGGCCCTGCGCTTCCTAAAGCCGGCCCTGCCTCCCCTAGTTCCATCACTTATACCGGTTGCAGTTTTTCAGTGGAGTTAGTTGGGTGATACGAAAAATGAGGAAGTGGTGAATGTAATGTTTGTGAAAGGTGTTAGTTCAACGGCTCTGCTAAGTGTACTGCAAAACTGGAACAAAGACCTGTATTATCAGTGCAAGCTTCATCCATACTGCATCAGGCTTGTTCTAGAGCAGCCAGCTCCAGTAACTGTAATTTGCTGCCCATGGCATGTTTAGTAACTAGCCTTTTTTGCAAAGGCACTTCACAAAAGTACCAGTTGTTAAGGTGGTTTTGTGATATGGACACTTGTCCACTAAGAACTGGACTGAGACCACCAACTCATTTCACACCCGCCCTGTATGATGTATCAGGCGACTGTTGCCACTAGACTTGATTTAAGGCCTAGATTTTTATAATTATTCATACATAATTTGTTCTAACAATTACCACAATTGCACATGCAAATATTAAAATGCAGCTGTTCCTTTGACTGTGCAGTCACATGTTTATGAAAACATGAACCCCAGCAAAAATCCACTGTATGCTATTATTAATCTCCCTGAATCATCTCAATTTCCCCCAGTGAAAAATCTTTACATGCCACATGCAATGTATAGAAAGTATGGTGTTTTGGTTTTGTTTTGTATGATTTTGGTTTCCTGTTACAGCTGCTTGTGGAGGTAAGGAAGTTGAGGTTTGTTTCAGATGGCTCTACCTTACTAAAATACTTGGAAAGAGGATAGGAGGATTTAAATATGGCTTTGTAAAATGTGCTATTGACACTGTAAATTAAAATTAATAAACTAAATTATAAATGCTATTTTTCTTAAATGTTAATACTGGTAGGTTATCAATGTTTATTGCTAATAGCAGTTTTGTAAAATTCAAACTAATGAAAATTAAGGTCCTGAACCCACAAACACTTAAGCAGGTACATAATTTTTCTTACATAAATACATAAATACTCACATTGAGTTCAATTGGACTATGATTAAAGTTAAGCATGTTCCTAAGTATTTACAGTATCAGTGTTTAAAATTGTTTTTATTTTATTTTTAATTTAAAACTTTGCTGTTGGGCTATGTCTTTACAGGGGGGGTGAATAGTTTTTAATTCCATCTACTACCTGATGTGAAAACTGCAGACTCCCTTGTCTTCACTAAGACTTTACTTCAGGTTAGCTAACTCAGGTTAAGAACACTCCTTTCCTTTGGTTTTTTGCTTGTCACTTTTGTTTGTTTGTAAGTGTTTGAAGGAAAACAGATGAGTTTTTGGAATGTTAGAATTAGAGTTTTGCAAATGAATTGGTTGGAAGAGGGCAAGTGAGGTGATCAGAGATGCAAAATAACTGCAGTTTATTCCATGGCTGCAGAGATAAAGGAGTGCATTCCATGGATATGAGTAATGAGTATGTATGAAGTATAAAAAGTGTTGAGGTATTTAAAAAAAGGGGAAAAAGTACCACTACTTTTTTGTAAAGTGTTGTGTTAGCTGTCAATTGTGGTGAAACAAAGTAGTTCTGCCATAAAGAATGCAGGTCTTCCTAAGTGAGTGGCAATAATGTTATACCACACTACCATGTATTTTATTTATGCTATTCAGTGTTCTGTTTGAAATAAGGAATGTATAATACTTCACACTTACAATCTTCAAGAATCTCAAACTTATTTACAAAGATTCATGAGGCTTCACAATACTCCTTGAGGTAAATAAGCATTGTTCTATCAATTTGATATATAGCTAAACTGAGGTGCAGTGGTTAAGTCACTTGTCCAATGTGAGTGGCAATCAGGAAAAAGAATGTCCAATATGATGGTCTATTTGAGAGAAGGAACATTGCAAAGGGGAAGATTCTGAGCCTGATTCAAGTAGTGATTTGGAGAATATCTCCTGAGGAGCCAATGTTGGACCCGCTCATGCAGCAGTGACCCTTAGAACCCTCTCATTACTGGGAATAAGAGTGTTAACAGAACTGTTTTTAAATATTTTTCATTTCAGTATTAAACATGTTTTAGCTGGCCAGTGGAGACCAGGCACTACCATTTTACAAGCTATGTTTTTATACTAGTGTCTAGCTAAAATAATCATTTTACTGTTTTGAATGATACATTCCCAAAGACCTGCATAACTAAAACAAGTTGGCGTTGCCTGAAGACTCTTCTAAGACCCGTGTCTAGTAGATAATTAGAAAATGGTTTGTAAAACTAGTCTACTCAGGCCAGGAAAAGTATATTTACATTATATTAGCATGAACTGTGTTTAAAGAAGAGAAGAGCAACAAGAATGATT